CATGATTGCCAGAATCATTATGTGTGAGCATCACTTTTGACTAACTAAGATGTGCGCGAGATTGAATTCTGGAATTGGGACCTCAAACACAGACAACTCTACCATTTTACTGGGGTACATTTAATTGTCTACAGACTATGATGCAGGGGACTAAAAAATGAATTTGGAAAAAAACGTAAATCCTGAGAAATTAAAGACGAGGCACATATATGATTTTTTTCTTCTTTTTCTCAGTTACACAAAACCACCCGAACCATTGAAACAAAAGGCCTCCTTTCTTTCTTAATGTGAACTTAAGTAACGTGGAAAAAATATAGAGAAAGATATAGCTATTACACAATTTTACTTATATTTTTGTTTTTTTCTTCTGTCCATTCTCACTTTCATTTTTTTTGTTTTTTTTTTTTTTGTTTTGTTTTTTTTTTTTTGTTTTTTTTGGCCCCTCAAAATTTATGAAAGTATGCTGGTTTTTAAAAAAGTACATTATAGGCCTGACATAATAATAGTTTTGATATATGTATAATTCTTAAGTGTAGCACCTCTCAAAGGGCAAAAAATCACACAAGAATTTACAGGGACTTGGAGTTCACCAACATGAATTAAAATAGAGGAGAGAACACAAGTTCTATACACTAGACAAAATTACAGTAATCTACATAAATGTTAACAGATAACCACAGGTAAGAATGACAATAATTCCTTCTTAGAATAGAAGAACTATTTTTTTTCTTTTTTCTTTTTATTTATGTATATTTTCTCATTTGTCAAATGGAAAAAAAAATCAAGAATAGGGGACAACCTCAAGGCAAGAGGTAAAAAAAAAAAAAAAAAAAAAAAAAAAAAAAAAAAAAAAAAAAAATATGACATAAAAGTCAAAAACTTGCACCTAAGGAAGCTCTTGGTAATTTACAAAGGTTTCTGAGGTGCAATTTTAGATTGTATATATAATTTATGTAATGTATATATTCATATATATATATATATATAGATTGCTCTATACGACTGAGGTGTCCCATCTATAGAAACTGTATTATGGAATTCAGAATTAAAATTGCATCCTTTTACAGGGGAAACAATATATTAACACATATGACAGCCAAGGATCCAATGGTATAATATAAATTCATAATCATTAAAAACAAAAATAACATATATAGCACTGCCAAACAGGAAAACATGTTCTAATCACCCAAATCAAGTAATATTTTGTTTCAATCAGCTAGGGAAATATTAGAACAGAAAGTTGGTTTGCTTTACTGGAGAGAGAGAGCAGCCGTTCACAAACACAGAGGAGATATTAATCAACCTCAATGTTCACTTAGGCCAAAAGGCATGAAAACTAAGGAATCCCAAGCTAACATGAGCTACATGGTTACAACTATCATCTCTTTTAGTCATATATATTCATTCATTTCTTCTATTTTTCTTAAATTCCTCCTTCTCCTCATATCATCTTCAGAATAATCATATATCTCCTTCACAATTTTCTTGGTCATCATTTTCACCTTGGTTTAGGATGGATGAGGAGATATCCCCCCTAACCCTTTCCCCCTTTCCATCACCTACCACCCTCAGACGCATTAACATTGGTGACCGTCGAGTGAGCTACGAACTTGAGGAGGTTCTTCATCGGATGTCAGAGATGTTAGCCTTCGAGCCAAAGATCCTAAGGAGTTCGTTTTCATAATCTTCGATATTGCGCTTCATCAGGTCCATGCAAGGTCCAAGGAGGCGCTCGAAGGCTTCCACATCAAGGACTGGAAGGGAAGGCATTTGTGAGGCATGAGGTAGAACTTACTCAAAGAAAATAATTCTGAAAATAAAATTATGAAAATTCTACAAATAGAACAAATAATGGTATATCTAACTGTATCAAAACAAAGATTCATCAAACAACCAATACGATAATTCTTAACCCCTTAATGCCAGGCTTCATAAAACTCATTCCCTCCCAGTGGGCACCTTGTGGACATGTGGTCAACAGATGCCAGGGTATGTCTGTAGACATATTGATAATTCATAGGCATGGTTGAAACTAAGGTATGCCAAACTAAAGGTTGAAATGTGCAAAAAAATTGGGGTAAAGATGTGGTAGGGGGAAGTGCACATATTTGCAAGGAATGAACAGGGGGAATGAATCCTGTTGTTTGTCAATCACATGACCACAGACTTCCCCAGCTCCAGAGGGTTAAAAAATTATTCCCACTATCAATTAATAACAATAATAAAAAGGAAGCTAAATATGATATTTTATGAATACCTAGAATTATTATAAGCATATCATAGGACAATGCATACTATACTTACAAGCAAGTTTGGCTTTCCCACATGCATACACTGAAGCTGCTCGTGCCTTCTTCGTCACCAGAGCAAGCTCTCCAAAATAGCCACCTACTGAAACTCGACTGATCTGTGAATGGAAAACTTACATTAGCTCTACATTTAAGTACCTAAAACACTTGCCAAATGATCCTTTAAAAATAAAAAAAAAAGCCACTAAAGTGCTGCATACTCTATCATAGAAAAATGCCAATCTGAAACTATGTCTTTTATATAATATGTCGGTCCAGTGGCATAACTGATGAAAGAATCACTCAAACAATAAATAATAATTCTGAAAAGATTCATCGTTGTCCTCATTAAATGTATGCCAACATCATCAAAACTTAGCTAAATAGAATAATGGAATAATATGACATATTAGAAAATTTCCCAAAGAACCTATCATCTTACATTTTCACCAAAATAGGAGAAAATACAACATTTTAATCAATGGTAAAAATGAAAAGGAATCCTTATCAAACTTTTTTGGCTTCGTAATTTACTACAGAAATAAACAAACACTAAAGCAAACCCTAGACACATGTTAGCCATAGGAAACTTTGAACCATAGGAACAGTGTGAAATAGGAACAACTAGATATGCAAAAAAAAAAAAAAAAAAATGAAATAAATGAAAACCAGATTCTGGAAGAAGAGGAAGAAGAAAAAAATATTAACAGTAGGTAGGAAGAAGAATGAGAGAGAGAGAGAGAGAGAGAGAGAGAGAGAGAGAGAGAGAGAGAGAGAGAGAGAGAGAGAGAGAGAGAGAGAGAGAAGAGAGTGTGAGAGAGAGAGAGAGAGAGAGAGAGAGAGAGAGAGAGAGAGAGAGAGAGAGAGAGAGAGAGAGAGAGAGAGAGAGAGAGAGAGAGAGAGAGGGGGGGGGGGGAGAGAGAGAGAGAGAGAGAGAGAGAGAGAGAGAGAGAGAGAGAGAGAGAGAGAGAGAGAGAGAGAGAGAGAGAGAGAGAGAGAGAGAGACAGAGAGAGAGAGAGAGAGAGAGAGAGAGAGAGAGAGAGAGAGAGAGAGAGAGACACACACAAAGAGAGAGAGAGACACACACAAAGAGAGAGAGAGAGAGAGAGAGAGAGAGAGAGAGAGAGAGAGAGAGAGAGAGAGAGAGAGAGAGAGAGAGAGAGAGAGAGAGAGAGAGAGAGGGACACAGAGAGAGAGAGAGAGAGAGAGAGACACAAAGAGAGAGAGACACACACACAAAGAGAGAGAGAGAGAGAGAGAGAGAGAGAGAGAGAGAGAGAGAGAGAGAGAGAGAGAGAGAGAGAGAGAGAGAGAGAGAGGGAGAGAGAGAGGGGGAGGGGGGGGAGAGAGAGGAGAGAGAGAGAGAGAGAGAGAGAGAGAGAGAGAGAGAGAGAGAGAGAGAGAGAGAGAGAGAGAGAGAGAGAGAGAGAGAGAGAGAGAGAGACAGAGAGAGAGAGAGAGACAGAGAGAGAGAGAGAGACAGAGAGAGAGAGAGACAGAGAGAGAGAGAGACACAGAGAGAGAGAGAGAGAGACACACACAAAGAGAGAGAGAGACACACACACAAAGAGAGAGAGAGAGAGAGAGAGAGAGAGAGAGAGAGAGAGAGAGAGAGAGAGAGAGAGAGAGAGAGAGAGAGAGAGAGAACGAGGGAGAAAGAAAGAGAGAGAGATATAAATCCACAAGTTACCTCCTTCTCCTGGTTTTCTGAGTTGGTCATGGTGATGCGCACAGTGCCGTCTTCAAGGAAGTACATGCCATCTGCGGAGTCTCCTTGCATGATAATCTGCTCACCTGGACTGTACACCTTGGGCACAAGGGCATCTGCCAGGTTCATCCTTTCATATTTCTGGAGGAAAAGAAAGCTAAATAGTGAACATGAACATATGATAGCTTGAAGTATCTTAAAAATCGTTATCTAGTAAGCTGTCACATCAAAAAACCTCTGCATATAGAAAATAAAGAAATATATAAGTTTGAAGCTAAAAACCATTCTAGCTCAACATGAACTGCAACCATCTTCAAATATTGAAAAATAATCCCATTCGGATTTACATTGGCTAAATTCTCTACCTTTTTTATTTCATAAAAAATCCCTATAACATTCAGTGCAAAGAATTTGATAATTCCATCAGTCTCCTTACCTCAAGGGTTTTCAGCATGGGCACATTCTCAAGGAGGGACTCATACATTTTCCTCTTCTTGCAGGCGGACTTGAGCAGAATCCTCCTGAAGGTCTGGCGATCCATGGCCCACAGAGCTCCTGGGGTTACAGCCTGGATAGTGGCAGCTCGAGGCAGGTTGTACATTAGTGCCAGTTCGCCAAAGCTGCCAGCGTTGTCGTACTTCCCAACTAACCGTGGTTCTGAGTCACTATCAGTCTTCACATAGATATTAAAGACGCCCCTGAAAGATTTCAGGATAAATCTAGGATGATTCCACAGACTATTGAACCAAGGAAGAATACCCTGGCTGAAATCAGTGTATAATTACATTTCTGGTAAAGCAATAGGAATTATTGATATCCTTTTATATCTTGTGCATATCCAATTTTCATTCACTAATGAGAAGAGAAATGACTAATATTCATCCAGAAAATAATACATCCAGAAAAAAAAGTAAGAAAAAGAAAAAGAAAAAAAAAAAAATTGAATCCATATCCCAAATTAATCACGCATCAACAATATACCATGGCACACAAATACACAGCACATAAACCTTTCCTCTATTCTTTGCTTTTAAGACCTTTTATCAATTAAGCTGAAAGTCCAAGTCTCTGGTCCAGCATTACTTTCCTATATTCCTAACAAAGCCTCCAGTCTAATTAGAAGAAACCAATGGAATGGTTACCTCCATTGTGGACTGACAATACAAGCTGAGCAATGGGAATCTGCTTAAATCCAATGAGAAGATACACGTAAAAGATTTATATTTCTATAAATATCTTTGGCTGCATTGCATTTCACGTGCATTAAGTGCAATTTATGGGACTTCCTGAAATCATTTAACTTTTAATAATTATGTTTATTGTAATTCTTTTTAAGTGACTCCCATTAGAGAAACTTCAATATTCTGTACGAAAAGGAAAGGGCAAGGGGGTGATAATTGAGTAAATGAAGAAAAAATTATAGCAAAAAGTGCAGGGTGAGACATTAAATGGTCAGAAGAATCTGAGGGATGAGGAAGCAACAAAATATTAAAGAATACTGCTTGGTTATGAATGGAATGCCTTCCTCCTTGTATGGGCAATGGAGATAAAAAAAAGATGAGGGAAAGGAAGAAAATACAAGACATTGAACATCAAAAAGGTATATGATATCTGTAGCATACATAACAAATACATACGATTCTATAACATAAAAGTTATCTCCATCGTCGCCCTGTTTGATGACATTCTCCCCTGCTGTCACCTTCCTCTCGAACATCGCGTCCAGCACCTCGCCCATTTGGTCCTGGAAAGCAGAGGGCAGAGGCTTACACGAGGCTGGGGCTGAACGCATCGCTGGGGATTATGTTGGCTGGAAAGAACCTGGTCCGGGAAAGGGAAAGGGACTCTATGCTGAAGGGGGCAAGAGGAATAACATGGAGAAGGAGAGGGAGGGGATAGGTATAGGGAGAAAGACAGGTGGGGGAGAGGAAGAGGGAGAGAGAGAGAGAGAGAGAGAGAGAGAGAGAGAGAGAGAGAGAGAGAGAGAGAGAGAGAGAGAGAGAGAGAGAGAGAGAGAGAGAGAGAGAGAGAGAGAGAGAGAGAGAGAGAGAGAGGAGAGAGAGGAGAGAGAGAGAGGAGAGAGGAGAGAGAGAGAGAGAGAGAGAGAGAGAGAGGAGAGAGAGAGAGAGAGAGAGAGAGAGAGAGAGAGAGGAGAGAGAGAGAGAGAGGAGAGAGAGAGAGAGAGAGAGAGAGAGAGAGAGAGAGAGAGAGAGAGAGAGAGAGGGGGGGGGGGGGGGGAGGGAGGGAAGAGAGAGAGGGAGGGAGGGAGGAAGGGAGGAGGAGGGAGGGAGGAGAGGGAGGGAGAGAGAGAGAGAGAGAGAGAGAGAGAGAGAGAGAGAGAGAGAGAGATGAGAGAGAGAGAGAGAGAGAGAGAGAGGGGGGGGGGAGAGGGAGGGAAGGAGGGAGGGAGAGAGAGGGAGGGAGGAAGGGAGGGAGGGAGGAGAGAGAGAGAGAGAGATAAAGACTAAATATCCACATTTGATTTTTAAAAAATACTAAGAAAGGAAAATGAACATCAAAGCGCTCGTGTCATCAGGGCAGAATCAAAGACTCGATCTCGAGTCGCCAAAAAGAAAAAACGCCGTTTCCTGAAGGCGCGTCCCTTCTTATAGTCCATTTTGCTGCCGGCGACTTCAAGATACGTGTCGCGCTCCCATTGGCTCCTTGACTACGAAGAACCGACACGATTGGCCATTCTTTCCTCCAATGGCCATTCGGAATCGCCTTATCAACTAGCAGCCTAAGGACATAGCATTGTTACATTGAGCATCTTGTTTAGGATGAGTCATGGAGAACCGAGCCATTAGGATGTTGTTCCAGCAAAACACAGCTGTACAACCAAGCTGCTATAAGGCTAACCTGTGTAGGAGCTCTTGACTAAATATTGACTATCGGTAATGTAAGCGTTTACTCTGCGTTCCTGAGATAATCTATGCTATCGCAGGCAGTCTAACCCCTTTTTTATTTTTTTTTTCCAGCCTACGCTGAGAGGAAATACATATATCGTGTTATGTAGACCGTGTAAACATTATGTTTGGGGGGAGAGCGATGATTTGTTGGTGTTGCTGAACGCTGCTCCTGCTTGACTTTTCTGCTTGCTTAGTAAGACAACTTTTCATGCACTAATTCAAATTGATTTCTTTAACCAAACCGTGCCATGTGTATCTCGTTACGTACTGCCGGCATGTTGCCTTTGAGTTCTGTGATATTCTCTCTCTCTCTCTCTCTCTCTCTCTCTCTCTCTCTCTCTCTCTCACACACACACAATTTTATACATTAACTTGGTTATCTTTCCGGCCAATGTTATTTATTCTTTGTTATTCAACTTTTCTCCTAGCCAAACCTGTCCTATATGGCGTATAAAAGCTCGACCCGGTTCATTAAGACCAAGGTTTATCCCGCTAGATCCAAGACAGATATGATGACGAATGATCGCCGTCGACTGTGTATATACCGCTCCCTGGCCGGCTCATGACGTCAAGGCGAGGCAAAAGCTTGTATCCGGGAGAGGGAGGAAAGGAAGGGGGGGGGGGGGAGAGAAATGGAGATTGACTGATTATTAAAATTATCTGCCGCGTCAGCAGCTAAGGTCATTAGCGGCAGAAATGGAGAGAGACAGAGAGAGAGAGAGAGAGAGAGAGAGAGAGAGAGAGAGAGAGAGAGAGAGAGAGAGAGAGAGAGAGAGAGAGAGAGAGAGAGAGATAGGGTGGGATAGGTACAGGGAGAGCGAGAGAAGAGTGAAAGAGAAGAGATTTCAGGAACCCAAGACATACCAGCTGAGAGTAAAGGAGCTTCGTCAAAAAGCGGCCAAAGTGCGACTCAAGCACGCGGTTCGCGGAACTTCCTCGAACTGCCACAGGGATGAGAGGAAGGGGGCGATGGAGGAGGCGGTCGTTTCAGAGAGGGGGGCGGGGAGGCGAGCTGTCGGCAGGGAGTGGCGGGCCCGATGACATCAGCTGGGAAGGGCCCGGGCATGACGAGGGAAATTCGCGAAATACAATGGCCAAATATTCCTTCATGGGTTCGGTTGCTTTTACGAGAATAGTGCAAGCATGTCTTAGAGATATACTAACAAACAAATTACTGATTTATACGAGCTAATTACCTATGTGTATGAATTACCTTATTTCTGCAGATACATTAAGAACAAAATCGGGCGAGCGTCCCAGGTGGGTTTGCGTCTGAACAGCCTCGCCATCCGCGAGCGGAGCCGAGGGCCTCCGAACGCCCTCGCGCTTCGGGGCGCTGCAGCACCGCAGCCACTCGTGCCTTATGAACACTCGAACACTCATTATTCGATTCAATTCACCTTAGGGATTCCCCGCCTCTATCCCCAATGGTTATTGCATTTCTCGGAAGAAATAGAAGTGACCCTTCAGCCTTCTCGGAGGAAATCGGTACAAGTGTTTGGGTTTGGGGATCCTATGCATTTCAAATAACGGTTACTATGAAATAACTAATTCTAGTAAATGGAATCCACACACCATAGACTACAATAACATAAACCTGATTTTATGAAAAAAAAACAAACAAACACTGAAACATTAATATAAATTTCATAATTATATGACACGTACTAAGCGAGCACCAAGTCTTGCAACCACGGGCACCACTCCCAGCTTTTACGCATTATTTTCCCCATCTCAGATGATTAGCCTATTAAGAGTATGGTCTAGAATAACCCCCACCCCCTCCCGTGAAACTCTGACACTCCTTGCAGCTCTATAAACAAACGTTCGCACCCGACTGTAAACAAACGTTTCCTGAAATGCGCAAAACGTTTACACGAGAGGGAGAGAAAAAAAAGTTATGTGAATATTAAATAGTTGTCTGAATACTTGTGTACAGAAAGAAAACCTAGAGACGTAATAGTAACGAGTTATTTTTCTTAGAGTTGGATATCGTTTATAAAGCTGGTTTAATTAGTAAACAGTGCGCGTCAACCAGACAGCTGACCCACCGCCGCCTCATGGCCCGCGGCACGTACTCATGAGCCATAAGGAAGGAGGTAAGGAGAAAGAAATGGGAGAGGGAGCGAAGGAGAAGCAGGGGAGAGAGAGGGGAAGGAGATGCAGGGGGAGAGAGGGGAAAAAAGCAAGGGGAAGAGGGGAGAAGGTATACACAGAGCCCTCCCACAGGCCCCCTATCAACAACCCTCACTCCGACAGACACCCCTTTTCCCCTACCAGCACACCCCCTCCCCTCCCCCACCATGAGCGGATCAATCAAGACGCCGCCATCACCTTCATGGCGCGCGACGTCTGATCGGCTGCTAACTGGTCTACGGCATCAGGAGGGAGGGGGGAGGAGAGGGAGGGAGAGGGGGGAGGGAGAGGGGGGGAGGGGGAGGGGGAGGGAGAGGGAGAGAGAGAGGGAGAGTGAGAGAGAGAGGGGAGAGAGGGAGAGAGAGAAGGGGGAGGGAGAGTGAGAGAGAGAGGGGGGTAGAGGGAGAGAGAGGGGGAGGGAGAGGGAGAGAGAGGGGAGAGAGAGGGAGGAGGGAGAGAGAGGGAGAGAGAGAGGGGGGAGGGAGAGGGAGAGAGAGAGGGGGGAGAGGGAGAGAGAGGGAGGGGGGAGAGGGAGAGAGAAGGAGTGTGAGAGAGAGAGGGGAGAGAGGGAGAGAGAGAGGGAGGAGGGAGAGAGAGAGGGGGAGGGAGAGGGAGAGAGAGGGGAGAGAGAGGGAGGAGGGAGAGGGAGAGTGAGAGAGAGAGGGAGGAGAGGGAGAGAGAGAGGGGGGAGGGAGAGTGAGGGGGGAGAGGGAGAGAGAGGGAGGAGGGAGAGGGAGACAGAGAGAGGGGGAGGGAGAGGAGAGAGAGAGGGGGGAGGGAGAGGGAGAGGGGAGAGAGAGAGAGAGAGAGAGAGAGAGAGAGAGAGAGAGAGAGAGAGAGAGAGAGAGGAGAGAGAGGGGGGGAGAGTAAGAAAGAAGCAGAGAGAGAGAGAGAGAGAGAGAGAGAGAGAGAGAGAGAGAGAGAGAAGAGATAGAGAGAGAGAAGAAGAGAGACGGAGAGAAGGAGAGAGAGAGAGAGAGAGCGAGGAGAGAGAGAGAGAGAGGCCTCCTCCTCCCCGTGTCATTCTCAAGCTGTTTTTCTTCGTTGCAGAATGGCAATACATTCATGTTTTTTTTTTCAATTTCTCTTCCCCCCCCTTCCATAATCGACCACTTACACCTTCGCTCAAAAGTTGATCACGGCGGCCATCTTGGATTCGTCGATCCCGCCCACACCACGCTCGACCCTCGGTGTTACGGAGGCGTCTTTACTGCAACCAGGAGAGGGGGGGGGGGGGGGGATACGGGAAGGAGGTCGAGGGAGAGAAGCGAAGTTAGATAGGGCGGAGAGGAGAGGATTGAGGGGGGGGGGAGGAGACAGAGAGAGACTGAGACAGAGATACAGATAGAGATAGATAGATAGGGAGAGAAAAGGAAAAAGAGAGGGAAGGAGAGAGGAGGGAGGAGGGAGGAGGATGGGAGAGAGGGAGAGGGATAGGGAGAGGATGAGAGAGAGAGAGAGAGATAAAGAGAGAGAGAGAGAGAGCGAGAGAGAGAGAGAGATGAGAGAGAGAGAGATGACGAGAGAGAGAGAGAGAGAGAGGAGAGAGAGAGAGAGAGAGAGAGAGAGAGATGAGAAAGAGAGAGAGAGAGAGAGAGAGGGAGGGAGAGAGAGAGAGAGGGAAGAGAGAGAGAGAGAGAGAGAGAGAAGAGAGAGAGAGAGAGAGAGAAGAGAGAGAGAGGGAGAGAGAAGAGAGAGA